TTAATAGTAATTAAGTATATATATTAATATAGGTTGCATCTTTCACTGTTTGTTAAACTGATACTTTTCACAAATATCAAATTTAACCAAGAAAAATTGAAAACTGGAATTAGGAAGTGCATTTGCATATTTATTTTAGACTGCTGTTTATGAAAAGGAAATTAAAATATATATTAGAACTACTAAATCTGTTTTTCTGGAGAACATCAAGTTTTGGAGCAAAATACCAAGTTACACACAAAGTATCATGTTGTTCACCACCAGGCTGCTTACCTGGCCAGGAGATGCTTTTGGCTTTTCTGCTACGCTTATTTTCACCCGTTTCCCATTTACCAGCACTGGCACAGTTTCACCGTATTTCACAGCTGCTATCACAGCTTCTTTGTAGTTCATTTCCAAGAAGGCCTAAAATAAATGGCACTTTCAGTCTTTATTTATATTACAGACACAAGATACAACTCACTGCAATTTTTTCTTAGCAAATCTGCTCACGACTGAACTGCACGTACTTCTCTCTCTAAGTTCACGTGGAGTTTGATGAAAAAGCCTGGATTTCAGCATTATACAAAAAGACCCTCTAACATTTAGGACTTCAGTAGCAAGCAAGACTGAATTTATGAAGTTAAGATTCCCAGCTATTCCAACATTACGTATGTGAACTTTAATGACAAACTGTTCAGGAAGCCTTATCCTATGTTCAGCTGAGGATCCAAATATTACACTTTTTCATGGCTTGACAATTTCTTTTGCGTTCTGACACAAAACGTTTCTACAGGAAAACTTACCTCATTTCTAGAGCGCAGTACAAGGAGATCACTAACTTTGCCAAATGGCTGAACAATTTTTTTAATATCTTGATCTGAAAAGCCATCATCTGGTAAATCAGATATTCGAAGGACTGTCCCACAACTCAGCAGTTCCTCTCTCAACAGCTACAAATTGGGAAAAAAAAAAAAAAAAACAACCACAAAAATAAACACTTTCCAAGTCAAGTCCAGTAAAAGGAAGAAAAAAGAATCCGTGATAAAAATTACTTCAAAGTAGACAGACTGCTTAGTTCACGGTGGTTTTTCGAGTTTTTTGCTTTTTAACACAAGGACAGAGCCACAATTTTGTTCTTCTCCAACTCTGTCTCAATCTTCAGTTATTAGAAGACATGGCATAGGATTACCAAGCAACACAATACAACCTTTTGTTTTTATCAAGTACTATAGATCTACATAATTCCAGTTGCCTGGGCTGTATGGGTAAGGAGCTGCACAATTTCACTACTTTCCTTTCAATACTATCTATTAGCTTTCAACAGCACTAGGCAATGTTCTCTCTGCTTATCATTCAGAGGCTGGAAACTACCAAGGACGATTGCATCTACCACAGCTATCCAACAGTAACCTAATATAAACCTGGTTTATAGGCAGTGCTTCCAAGAGATCCCAACAGTCACTGTGATGGATTAAGACAACACTGGCTTAAGATCCTTCTTACAACAACAGTAGTAAATTTCTCTGCCTCGTTTTTTTTGCTTGACAGGGCAAAATGAACACTTCCTGCCTCCTATCCATTACTTTCATTTACACAGTCAGCTCCTCCAAACAGAGCTCATCACTCACACTTCATACAAACAAGTGCCCAGTAGAACAAGGATCCAAATTTAATGGACGTTTCTTTCTGCTGTTGAAAAGCACTAGAGAGGTTTTGCTTCACATCTGTTAAAAAATCCTTCCTGTGTAGATTACCACGCTCACTTGCAGCCAGCAAGCCTTTGCATGAAGATGGCAGTATCTATTGCACAGAATCAGCAAACAGAATGGTAAATCTTTCCACAAGTGACCCCCTGAAATGAGATACTAACCATACTCTTAAAATCACAGAGAAAAACATTAAGAAACTCACCCTATTATAAGGAGTAGGACGAGGTCTACTGGTTCCTGTGGGTAAGTCTTCCTCATCCTCTTCCATCCTGAAATCATCAGTTTCAGGAGATGAAGAGCTTGACCCAGGCAAAGAAGGCACATCTTTCTTCGAAGCCTTTGCAGAAACACCTTTTTTCAGTGGCTTCTTCATATTTCCAGGCGTCTTCCCTAAGGGTCCATGAGAGGGTGGTGATTTTCCCAATCCCGAAGATCCTTGCCCAGCTGCTTGAAGTGACTTATGTTTATTGAACTCTGCTACAAAGCCAGGTCCCAAACTTTTCACTACTGCCTCCAGAACTGCCTTTCTGTCTGTGAGGGGAATGGAAAACAAACTGGGTTTTGTTTGTTTGTTTTTAAAAGAAAACTTATATATATTGCTGTTTGGTTTTCTACAGCTTCAGTTTCACCACCCACTCCGGATTCAATCTTGAGACTTGCTCAAGTTAGAGAATCTTAATCACACTCTAGCAGGGATGGCCCATAAATAATAATAAACCTCTGTACTATTTTCACTGTGTGTTGTGTAACTTGACATTTTTAGTAGACTGACGATGTGACACTGGCAATGATATCTACAAAAATCCCAATGGCTGGAGCAAAAGAATGACGGTTTATTTTGGTATGTCAGGGAATGTAAGAAAAGACAAGACGTTTTCAAGACTTTGATCTTCCTCTCACATACTGATGCACAGCAGTACTTACTATCTTGATGCCTTCTGCTAAATTCTGTAGCCGTCTCTGTCTTGCTCTTTGTCCTACAGACTGATGTTTTGTTTTAAATTATTCTTTAATGATCTGATACAACACTAATTTCCTGTATGCTTTCTTTCTGTGGGAAATTTATATTTTGGTTAGTAATTGCTTCTCCCCTTCATTCTTCTACATTAAAATGGCTTGCATTTTACCCTTAAGAAGATCTCTTTGAAACTGCCTGTCCCTCCACAACTTTTCACCTAGATTCTTTCCCACAAGAGCTCAGTACCTCTTAATTTTCTGAGAGCATACAAACAACACAGCCACAGTATACAGATCAAAGAAAAAAAAAAAAATCAACCTTTTAAAATTCCTCTTTTTTTTTTTCTCTTCAGAATTTAAAAAGAAACAGAAACTCCAAACAAACTGGTATTTCAGCCAAAGACTGAGCTCAAATTGAACTATATGGAACTGACCAAGTTTATATAAAATTTACTAGAACTGCAAACTGGAGGAAGTAAGATGAACGGAGAGTCACAAAATGGTGCAACGAAATTAACTGTTACAAAGGATGTTTCATTGAAAGTCTTTCACATACCACGCTCTCATCTCAACAAAATTATTTCAGAACATTATGCTTTCCTTGTGAATTGCACCTCCATTCAATGCAGTTTCTGAGCATCACATTTTCTTTCTCCTCACCTGTACTGCCTTTGCAGAATTACTTTTTTTGATGCTGAAGGAAGAAGAACCTTCAGTTGTTTTCAATTCTTGACTATCCTTACTCGTTTAAAAACCGAGCACACTTGGAACAGACACTTTTTCAGCAGTTACTTGATATGATTAACCAATTCCTGACACTAGGTAAGGAAGACTTCAGACCTTTTAGAATGTCCCTTTTCTTCCACGCATACTTCTCACAAAGCAACAGCAAAAGGAAAAGTTGTTTTTAAAAAACAGTATTTTGCTATGAAAAAATGCCTAGATGACACCTGGACAGATAAACCTCTTGAAATCAACTGAGTTTTCCTGAAATTAAAGGAAGTTTCAATTTGGCAGTGTGTGTCCACCCTTTACCTTGAGATCGGGTTGACCTCCTTGATGACCAATCATTACTGGAAGATCTCTGAGGTCGTGGACTAGTTCTCAGTGGATTTCTCGATCGCTGCGGTGACCTTGACCTGTGTCTGGGGCTACGTCGTCGCATCTGCCGTGGGCTTCGACTTCTTGGCCTTGGCCTAAAGCGGCCAGGGCTTCTGGATCTCGATCGTGATCGGCGAAGAACATAGCCAGAGCCTCCGACCCTCGAACGCCTAGGACTGGGACTGGCAGAGTTGGAACGACGCTTCGGGGTCTGGTTTTCTTTTCTGTCACCAGCATTTCTAACAGAATAGAGGCATATAATGAGTTTTGACAAGGCAGAAAAGAATAATTAACCCAAGTCTGCTGAAAGAGACTTTCTGCAAGAAAGAATCAAAACTGACAAAGTTTAGAGTCTAATTTGTTAACAAACATACTTTACATACTGGTAACATGTTTGCTATATGAATGTAGGATAGGTAGACAGAACTGAAATAAGCAAGCAGGAGAGAAAAACCTGCACGGAACAAGAGAAAGCTGTAAAGAAAACTCTGAAGTTACAAGCTGAAGTGCTATGAAAAAATAACAGGAAGAGGAAAAGGATACATGAATGAGTAATGAATTAAGATACTTTCCTTGCTTCTTCCAAATTTAGTTTGGAAGAAAGCAACCTTGAAACATTATGTCTAAAAGATTGACTGAGACCAAAAGAGAGATTTGAGAGGACTACATAAATATACATCCCCTGCATATTTATGCTACCTAGAGATGTCAAATGGATGAAGAACATGGAAAGAAGTAACGGTGAAGAGATCCACGAGAGAAATAGTCCCTCTTAGAGACACGGGAAGTAGTCAGGCATAGGAAAACCCTGACAGGACAGATCACAGGAGTAAAAGGGAAAACCTTGAAAATGCACTGAGTTACATGCTTAAATATCCAGAACATTTCTGATGAGCTTGGCAGGTGGCAGGCCAGTGTGTTACAGCCAAACACTTGTCCAATTTTTTAGCCCATACTGAATTCTTTAATCCCAAAGATAGACTGCACCAGCGCTCAAAACCACGTAGAGCAGACACAGCACCTTTGAGATCTGAAACTGCAAGAAGCCACTGACGTAGCATATCCTTCAGCTTACTCACTAGTAATTATAGTAGCAAAACTAAAAGAAACACAGGGAAATAACTGACATGGCATGTATGCCCAGTACGACTAGACTTACTGGGAAGACTCTATGCTGGACAACTAAAATACACAAGTCTCTTAACACAACACGGAAGAGAAGTTCACATTTCAACTGAAAAGCGTCTAAGCTTGTTAAAGGTAATCTAGAGCACCAGCACTTAATGAATCACCACATCAAGCCCTATTATCGCCGTTTAAGACTTCGAATAGACAAAGTTCCTCTGAGACTAAATAGGTTAAGGAGAGAGGGCTGGCAGACAGGAGAAGGGGATGACAAGCAACTGAGGCAACTGCTGCCCAACCTCTTCGGCCAGCAGCTAGATGAGGACAGCTGCACAACCCCCAGGCCTCCTAAATGTTCCCCCAACCCACCCCATGTAGCAATGTCTCACAGTGTTATTACTTAATTAGCAAGTTTCAAACATCATTACAAATCCATATAAATCCCATTATCCCTGGGCTCAATAAAAACGTTTGAATGTATTAACCAACCAGCTCAATTTATAAAAAGCAGAGACACTGAAGTGATTTACCAGAGTGGTAACAGCACACAGCAAGCTCCTCGACCTTGCCCTGAGACTGCACCCAGCAGCTCTGGACGTCTGCGGTCACCGAGAGCCTACAGCTGTATTCTAACCCTCCCAGCTGGAGACGTGCTGTCATCAGGCAGGATTTAAGAAAGCACCACCCTAAAAGACAACTCTTGCCCCACCTGCAAGCACAGAAGATCCCTCACTCACAAAAAGTGCTATTAAACACTTCTCCAATTTATGAAGTTCCTCCAGCTAAGAGCAGTTTCCTTTGCCTGGGTTGTATATAACATCAGCAGCACTCGACAGCAATTTCAGCTTGAGGTTTTGAAATAGAATTATTCTCTTCATGAAAGTTTCAGAAGTTTATTTGTTTTATTTCTCTCTTTAAAGGTTTATTTCTCCTTCTTCATTAACATGGAGAGACCTCAGATGCACTCTGCAAATTAACCTGACCTACATAACCAGCTTTTTAATTTTTTTTTTTTTTTAAACTGAATAGTTAGCTTCTTAGGAAGTATGTCAAACTAATTAACAGAAAGTCACAGGAAAATCTAGCAAAAATTAAAGCCCCATCATTCCTATTTGTATGCAAGTTGAAATATGTACAAATGTTGAACCAGTAAAATAATCCAATCCTGCCGAGATTCAAGTAGAATTAGTCCACAGGGTGTGTTTTTTTAAAAAATTAATAGTAAACAGCATAATTTTAAAGGACAGAAGAGACATGAGTTCATGAATTCCAGTGTTTTTTCAAGTTGTGATCACGTAGCTCCCCGAGGGAGACTGAAGACTGAAATAAGAGCTAACACTAGCATGCCTATTGTTAAACAGGTTTCAAGTTGCAAACAAGAGTGGCTTAACTGGAGAAAAGATTAAGAGTCAGAAATCATTCGGTTAGTTTAATCAATGATCTGACACCGGTCAGTCTCGCTCGGTTATTATTATATCACATCCAATAACTCATGACTAACTGAAGCACGGTTAGAAGAAAGGTTCAAGGGGAGACTGCTGACAATATCAGTATTCAGACTTTTCTACAGACTTTACTCTCATCCTTGTGAAAGAATTTTAGATACTGTGCCACTCATGTTATTAAACAGACTTAGGACAAAACCCACAAAAACACCCCACATGATTTTATAACGACACCACTAATAGAGCTTGCCAGTGAGCAAAACAGGAAAATTAATTGCATTAATTACCATGTTTATAATAGCAACAAATTAAAAACAACCTGTAATCATAAAGCAGTTACCTCTTTGAAGAATGAGACTCAGGGTTCCAATCAGGATATCTATTAAATATTAAAAATACGACCATCAGTGAAAAAGCTAAATTTGCCATCTGAACACAATTTTCACTTACATGCAGTAGCTTTCACAGATAAACATTCCTGTTCAGGATTCCAGAAGCACCGAAGTGTCAGTTCACCTTTTACCCTAACGGTCTAAAGCCAATTTAGAATAGCGCTTAGATACAGACAATCCTCATTACAGAAACTTGACACACTTTCACAGACTACGTGCATGCACAGAAAACACTTTTTACACTAAGTGAACTTTTTTAAACAGATTCCTTACTTTTGACGTAACTGGCGGCAGCTTTCAATATGAGAAGGAGTGTTCTGATGCAGAATCCAGTCCTAATTGGAGAAAAGACATCCAGAGACGTTTAATTAGTGTGTAAAATGTTAGCATTTGACCACAATTTCTAGTTATGTGTTGCCGTATTTTACCTTCCATCAAATTTTACCTAACGAATGATCTTATGTCAAGGTCAAGTTTCTCACTTAAATTTATTACTCTTTATGCAAAAGATTAAAATACTTATTGATTATCAAAAACTGTTAAAGAACACAAAGGAATCTAAGTGGAAGTTGAACAAAATGCGTCGTATGAAATGAATCTGTTACTTCCAGCAATACACTGGGTTGTTGTCACCACACTTCTAATGCAAAAGGTTGATCCAATAGCCGGCTACATTAAAAGAAAGAAAACTATTAGCGGTCTTCACAGATTGTCAGACTGATGAACACATACACAACAAATTAAGCTGAATAAATCAGAGAACCCGACACAACATGGTATCTTTAAGGCAAATACCATTTCTACAGAGGCGTGACTTTTCATGCCTTAAGCTCAAGAACATTCACTCCTAATAATGTTACAACTAAAGGTCAGTCAAAAAGTCTGATGAGATTTTTCACGCACACACACTGACTTTTTTATATGAAAAAAAACCTTCACAGAAGTTTTACTTGGGAAAAACTGATGGGTTAAGCACAAGACAAATGCAGAAGTACAATGCAAGCCCTCCATCTTGAAAAATACTTAAGCACAGGTTTAACTGTAAACAGAATCCATCCCCAGCATGGGAAACTATGCCTGAAGACTTTATTCTAATATTATTATTATGAAAGTAAACTGACCTGCTAGTGAAAGCAACTGCTGTAGTCAGTTTGCTGTTGAGGAGAGATATTGCATGGTCTGAAGCTTTAAGGTATCATATGTCATGAAGAATAATTATTGAGCGTTCTTAAAAAACCAACTTCTAGCTGCTTTAGTATTTTAAAATAGGTAATAATGGCTGAATAATGCAACTGACAGGCAAGGCTTCATAAAATAATTTGCAGTTGCGAAATTACATATCACTTTTTCTAAGCGCATGCTGGTTTATAACACAAGAGATTATAAAATGCATAGCTGGCAGTATCAAACTCTCTTGTTTATTGACAGAAATGCTGAACACACTGGTTAAAAGAAAAGCTCGTGATGGTTTACTCAAAGCCTATGAGATGGAAAAATTAACATGACCAGGGCACAGTTAGTTTTGTGCATTTGGCAGCACAGAGAACGTGGTGAAAACAGCTATTCCTTGCACTTACACTATCAGCCTGTCAGCACCAAAATGTGCTACAGGAGAGCCACCCAAACTGTTCATACTCCACATATAAAAACCATGGGTTTTAAAGAAATTAAAATACATTTTAAGCACAAGACTTATTATAATTTCCTGAAGAAACAGATAGACTGGTTAACCAATCTCAGAAAGGCACTGAGAGATTTTACTAGCTGTGTTCATAAAAACATTCTAACTATTCAAATAAAGTCAGAAAAACGTTACTCAAGAAGACCCCTTGCATTAGTCTCACTAGTTGCACCAAAGCATATTAAGAGTTGAAGAACAGACTGATAAACCACTTGCAGCCACAGAACTGCATGCACAGTGAATACACAGCATGCACACAAGTGAAGAGCAAGCAATTCACCATTATATGCTTTTTTCCTGGTAACACGCCATTACTAAGCAATCCCCTTCTTAAGAACGCTATTCTTCTAGAGTCTTCAAGTTAGACAGGAAAAAGAAAAACTATTACTCAAGGGCTAAAACAAATTAGCTTGCGGAAATGAAAGGAAATTGGGCTTCAAGTATCCCAGTTCCGTGGTCCCAAACGAAGAAAGCGCACACAGTCTCCGCGAGGGCCGAGGGAGGCCATTTTGCTTCCAAGTGTCTTTAGCTACCGGTCCAATGAGCATTAACGAGACTGGCAGGCCTACAAAGAGATATTCTCCTCCCTAACAAACACAACATTCTTCTCTTCTTCAAGTCTTCATTATGCCAATGCCCTCTTGCATTTCACAGAATTACAGGAGTCTCCATTTATGCATATTCCTCCTCTTCTATTAATTCCTTGCCCTTCTCAGTCTTCAGAAGTATTCCACTCTCTCTGGCAAGTCTGTCCCAAAGACGGATCCTTCCCCCAAAAGACAGGATCCCTTCCCAGCACGTCCTGGAATGAGTGAGAACTTGCAGCCGGTTTCTTGCAGCAGCAGCACTGCTGCTCCACAACCCGACACCCCCCAGGGACGAGCACCTTTGTCATCTAATTCCGTGCGACCGGCAAATCTCCTGTTACTTGTGGATCGCCACCAAAAAGGTCCTGAAGAAGCAGGTGACAACAGAGCGTAGTGTCTTCAGTCTCCAAACTCGCCTCTTCTGCCAATAGTAAGGTAACAATAATACACAGGGATAGCACCTGCACTTGTTTGTGCTGGTTTCACAGCAAGGTAAAAAAACTAGGAGTAAAATGGAGTAGACCCCATTTTGTCCCCTTACTTCAGCAAAGGAATCATAAGTGCAATTCTCTGTGGAAAACAATGAGTCCCCATGACTTCATGTAATTAAAGCTCAAGAAGACATCACCCTCACTTAAAGCTATTTAAGCTAGAAAACAAAAATTGTAATACACAGTAAATATGACCCCTCGCACTGGCAATACTGCACATCTACTTCGTTCCAAAAGTGGCATGTGTTTGAAGACAGAGAAATCATATATCCACAATTTCAAGTTGAAAATGAAGCTGTTCTGTGAAATATTTATAAAATGTTTCAATAAGTTGGGGGTTTTGTAAATATATTTGAAAGAAGACAACACTGAGGTGAGGTTCCATCTAAGGGCAGAATTGGGCACTCTTCCCTGAAAAAATGCTGCAGGACACAGATGCACAAATTTTTGAGTACACCTTCCAGCAAGTCACCTTAGCATCAATTAATTTTCCAAATTAATTCTTTAAAGCTCAAAAAGCCCACCTTTCTTATATACCTTTTCTTCTAACACAGTATTGTGTATGGCCAACTCTGACAAAGCTACAGAAACCTTCCTAACACAAGATAAAAAATAAGGACAAATCTTTCACATTTCTGATGCTGCTCCCACAACAACTCGCTTTCAAGTCCACGGTAATCATCATTTACCATGAACCCACAATATTTCAGACTGCTAAGTCTCTCTGTTAGAGAGCTGACACCTGACTGAAGGACCACAGATAGCCAAGCCTGAAGTTGCACTGTTGATTCAGAAAGCAGCACTTCTCCCAGTTCACCTCTGAACAAATAACCTCAGCAAGACCCCACCGAGGTGGCTGGAGGCATCGTCAAATAACCGAGGCTCCCACCACCTATTGCTAAAGATCCAGTGAACAGTTTTGATAGGAAAAGAAATGCTGAACAGAGTCTTTCCAAAGTCTATTGCATGAAACAGCTGAAGTATTCTTCACATTCAGCCCCGGACTGTAGGCAGCTTATCATGCAGCTGCTGACCTGCCATGTATCATCGCACATGAGGATTATCCATGTCCTACAAAAAAGTTTCAAAGCTTATAAAAAATACATTTTTCATGGACAGATCGATCTACAATAGCTATGCCATGCAGATGGAAGATATTTTAAGTTTTGACTTCTGAACAGTGTATTAGCAAAAAACCCACCTTCAAATACATATAAATAGTTGTGTAGAAGAGGGGTTCAGGATTCTTTTCAGATTACAAAAGAACTAGAAAATACATTTACTTGCTTAGCTGTATGACACTCAAAACAGAACTCTGTATTTTGGTATACTGCAGACATCTCAAGGCCATCTTCAGCTCTAATTTCATCAGACCTCATTAATTAAGCAAATTAGATACTTAAGAAGAAAGACCTACAGGGAGGACTGATGCTTTGGGGAACAGCAGAAGCATTCTTCACTCCAAGCCAAAACTCAGCCAGTGGTTCATTGCCTTTATGGTAGAGCCAAGTGGAAAGAATAAGGGCGATACAGTTCAGGTGATGCAAATACGAAGTTTTAAGCACTAACGGTCCCCGTAGCTTCAGAGGCAGACTGACTCTCCAGGAGTAGGAGCTGGGTCTCAAATCCAGCCGTAATCCTGTCATTTTTATAAACTAACGCCAGGTAACGCACTTGGATTCTCTTCCAATAGGAAATGCAGCTTCTGCTTCAACCTTGGCAAGAAAATGAATCCTAGATGAGTTTGTACTTCAATACAAGGCGGGATTAAAAGAATCTATGAAAAAAGACAGCTCATCACCATGAGTAATCTGAACTTGAAATCCATCATTTTAACATCATTGAAACTTTGTTTTTCAGATATCTAGTATCTTCAAGCCTTGGATAAAGAGAAGGTTTTCCTCATTTGGTATCTTTCACCATCTTCATCCATTCTTGTCTCACGTTACCCGCTTTGCTTGCCTATCTTCTTTCCTATTTGCCACGTTACAAAGATATCTGTTTATAACGCAGCATTCTTAAACTGCTTGTTACAACTTGGTACTACACACCAGAAATCTAATCACTGTAACCTAAAAACAGCTCTGAAGATCCAGTTCATCTCCAGGCATGCTGAGGAGACCAAAGGTCCATCTAGCTTACCTAGCACCTCTTCTCCCATGGCATGCAACAGAGGGTGGCAAGGGAGGTGCGTAACAAAACGAGCCGCTTCCCCAGAAGACACCTCCAGCCATCTGCTTGTCAAGGACTTCTTGAGCCATCAGAGGGTCTTTGCATAGCCTCTGAAGGATTTTCTTCCATGAACTTGTTCAGTTATTTTTCACCTAAGATTTCACAATCCTGTGGCAAACAGCATCTATGCTCTGTGTGAAAACAACCATTTCCTAGTGCAAGCCACACCACACGACTATCCATTTCTACTACATCATTTCCCCATCACTTCTCTTCCAGTTTGAAGGTGCTGTTTCGTACGCTTCCTCTATAACACTTAGCACAACTTTAAAGACAAAAAACCTGAATGTCTACATCACCTTTAACTATGCAACTGAGACAAAGAAGACAGTTTTATTTGTAAAACCAAACTGTAAAACTGGAAGTAAGAGGAATTCTTCATTCTTTAAAATTCACAAATACACAAGACTGACATTTCTTAACACAAACTTTTATTTAGTTAAAAAAAAAACCACTAACTCTTTTGGTTATTTTGCAACACTTGTCTAAACATGGCTTGCCCCATGAGGTCTCAAAAGAGTCTGAACTGCCTACGCAGCAGCAGGTGTACATAAAGAAAAAAAAAATACTATTCCAAATAAAGTTAATATATGCCAGAGCTAGAAGCAGCCATGACAGGCAGAAAAGGTTGCATAGTTGCAGTCGGATCAGAATGTCTGCACATGCTACGCCGTAGTGCCATTAGGGCAAGAAGTTATAACCTTTAATCTCCCCAGAAAACTTCATAGCTAATTTGTCAAGAAGTGTTTTTAGTAAAAACATTTGCTTAATTTTAGAAAGCACCAGTAAGCAAGCGACTGAATAATTCACATTTAAACAGATTACACTTTTCCAAAGAGCTTCGTCCATTTATTAACACAAACCCAAATTTGTTGCCCTGTTCAATTTTACACATTTTTATTTTAAATAAAACTTCCCTTTAAGTTTCCAAGTCTGCCCACACAGCTGCACTTCTCCCTGGCTTTCAGTGCTTCCGTGTAAAAGTACTTGAAAATTTATTTTTATTCTGAAGCCCCTAATACAGCTGTCACCATCTTAACTATTCATTCGCTTTTTTAATATACAGCACAACTAGGGCCCAGCAATCTTGCATGATTTTGCCAAATTGCAAAAAAGCACTCCCCCACAGGCTTTCCACACGTTTGTTGAAGACTATTTAAATTTAAACACATGAAACTAATAATGAATTATTCAATTTTTTAAAATTACGTTCTCCTGTATTTTTGACATATCAAGCCTAGGTCTTTCAAGAAAAATCCACAGCTTTCAGAATTCACCAGTTCCTTCTTTTTCTTCCTTCAAGAGCTGAAACTGTTACTTGCTTCATAGCTGAAAGCCCAGTCAGATGAATGAAAGCATTTTGTGTGTCCCTCAGAGCTAGTCTTCAGTCTCTGGAACAGTCAATGTCACATAGACCACATTTGGAAGATTAAAGTTTTGCAGATAAATAGGCTGCTTTGTTTTAATGCAGACTTTGCAGGAAGGGGGCTGAATACGTGAACATCTCATCTACCCTACCAAGATTCAGCATACAATTTTTGCACACATTTTGGTCACCCAGATGACATTAGTATTTTACTCCACTGACAAAGGGGTTTTGTCATTTGAAACCCACTGCAGAAGACACAAATAATTTTTAATATTAAAAAAATAAAAATCAATGTGTATGGCAACTTTGAAATGCAATTTGGAAGAGAACACGCTGTGCAGCAGTTACAATAATTTACTAGCACTGTGTCTGCCATTTTGAAATTTGCATGTAAGCACTCAAAGTGGCAAACAGCATCACAATTCATTTAATGCACAGTAAAAAATTAGTTCATAGAACAGTGCAGCAGGTAAGATGCCGAGTACAAGTTTATGCAATAATCTGTGAAAGACACTCACCTTCATATGAGTGCATTCAATGTTACACAGAGAACACATATGTGGAAATATTCTTGGAGATGTAGCATAGTAGTCATTCATCATTGACGGAGTGGGCATTCTTTTTATCTTCTGGGCATCAGGCTGTAGAAACGCTGGAAGCCACGATGCTTTCACAATACCAAAAGGAGATCTAATTGGCCCCTCAGACTGTGTCTGGAAGGGCTTCTGTCCTGCTCCCGAGCCGCCCTGGGTGTTAGACTGGCTTGTCCCAGATTCACGCTGAATTCTTTCATGCTGGGTTATAGCTGCAAGAAGTTCAGCTGAGAAGGGTGGCTGGGTCATCGGTGGCATTACGTGCTGGGTCACGGACTGCTGGACAAGAGGCGGCATGACAGGCGGCATCATGGGCTGTGCCAAGGGTGGCATTATAGGTGGCATCATAGGTGGCATGACAGGCGGTATGGCAGGCTGGGATACAGATTTCACCACGGGGAGTCCAGCGGGCGTTGCACACAAACCGGACACCTTTCCCGAAGTCTCAGCTGGAAAAAACGATCGAGTATTTGAGGAATCATTCTGGAACCCCGTCTGTTTTATTAAATCTTCAACTGGAAACACTGAATTACATGTCACGCTAGATGGTGGGACACCCATTGACATAGTCTGCTCTCGTTGGAAGTCTTCCCTGTTCTCTCCGCTCGATGCTTCAGGATTATAGACACGTGCTTTGAGAGGATCTTCAGTCAGCACTTCAGGATTATAAGCACGCACTTCAAGAGGATCTTCAGTGTAACCGTATTTGCTTGCATGCCCATAATCAATCACTTTACTCTTGACTGCTGCACCACTCGTACCACCAACCGTTTCTTCTGCTCTGCTCTGAGACTGTAAACCAGATAAAGAATGACCCATCTTACGAATCCGTATTTCTCTTAAGATTAGCGGCATGTTTTCAGGAGTTAACTGATCATCTGGATAGCGACTGAGTTCCTCCAAATCTTCATTAGACAGCCCGAAACTCGCTAAAATGCTGGAAGCACTTTCTGGTGTGTAGCGGTTCTGGGCACTTGAATTCTGCTCCGAGATCCGTGCTGGGGCCGATGGCTTTTGCCCAGTTGTCCCAGCTGGGCACGGGCTACTATCCCAGCAAGTTGTGCGAGGCTCTCCCTTCTGCTCCTGGTGTAGGTTCGTCTTCTCCTTCACCCGCCTCGGATCAGGCCTGTGCAGAGTTACCCGAACGTTTATCCTCTGTGAACCTGTCCACTGAAACGTTTCCTGTCCCGAAAATCTTGGTGACATTCCTTGAGGTGTTCCAGGTGCAGGCTTCCTCTGAAGACCTCCTGCACCTCCTCCCCTAAAGGATCCTGGAGGCTTTGTGCCAGATGGATTAGGTCCTCTCGGCCTCTGAGGTAAAGTTCCTCTAGGGCTAAACATTGTGCTTTTCAGAAATGCCTGATTTAACCAAGCATGAGGAGGTGCAGAACTGTTGGTAGCAACTGAGGTCAATTGCTGAAGAGCCAACTGTGTCTTAATTTGGGCAAGCTGTAAAGGAGGAGGGCCCAACAGAAGTGGGCTTGCAATGCCAAGGTTCAAGGAATTCACAAGTGGTGCGAAACTTTCCAAGAATAACACAAAGCTGAAAGTTAAAAGACAAGTATTAGATTATTTTATCTTTTCACCTACTTTACGCGGTGGATTCTATAACCGGTGAGAAAAACAACTGAAGTCACAAAACAGTATTTTAATGACAGTTTAAATGGTACTTTTGAATTTGAAATTCTGTTGAACACAACCATTTTCTTTCGCTGGATAAAATCTTAATATGCAGCGAACAGGTAACAGATAGTTAAGTAAATGAGCTTTACCCAACAAGTTCAATGTCACAGATAACATACCTAGTGATGAGACACTTTCAACAGCATTTTCTAAAACTTCACATTTCAGTTCTTAACGACAACATAGTTTGGATTTATTTACAATTAGAGCTATTTTATGAGCAATAAGCCAAAGTATTAAAACCCTCTCCAAATGTTTATGAGGTATGAATTCTAAGTGAAACCATTATGTAGAGAATTCAAAACAGTTACAACTTGGATGTCAAGTCATCGTGGAATCCATCCGAAGACAGCAGAACAGTTTTCAGGAGGGACACTCCCATGACCACTCTCATGGGTAAACTACTATACCCTGAAAGTATTCAAAGGGTGTAACAACATTTGAATTCTGTGGCTAGAAAATTTCCATTTCCCAGATGTTAAAGGCAAGATCTTATATTGAAACAACTGTAAACGGAAAGGTGTAAAATCACACAAAAACTGAAACCATCTACATACGAGCATAAAAAAAGAACAATGGCAATGGAAACGGACATCTTTTACTTCAGCTGAAACCACTGAGAACTCAATCCTGTAAGGCAGTAAAAGAATGTACAAATACAGGTAGAATAAGACAAAGTGATGCTCACACTAACAACAAATGAAATACCAGAGTTTTGGAAATGCATTCTTGTAGCATACTCAAAGCAAGGTGCCTCATCTGCCCAGCTCTGCCTGCATTTACAACACTCCAAAACTGCACAATCGGCACAGTCAGAAGGATCCCAGGAAGTCCTCACTCCCGTGTCAGTCTGCCGTCTCCCGAAACTGGATAACCTGCTGGTTTCATTCTTCGTGCAGCAATACATTAGGTTTGAATTGGTTTTACTAGCAGACTTCCACTAAGCATTAACTATAAAAGGGCTTGCAGACATTCCTAGTTGTTTCTGAACTTGCATGCTGTATTTCTGCAGTGTTGAGGTTCTTGTCTCACCAACACGAACTCCACCACAGGTTTTGTTTTGAAACCTCACTTGAGTTGACTCTAAACAAAAGTTTTTCAAGTAGAGAGAGGTGCCTCTCTCATGTTTCTCATCTGTAAGGACTGAAGTTCTGAAGTTTGAGAACCACAACTCAAAAAATAAAAATTACACGCCACTATAGCTTGAGAGAGGTGAACCACGTACAAGCTGCAGGAGACTCAGATTTTACAGCTGAATTCCTGTAACTTGTTACTATCTGTATGTTAAGAATTCTTTTTAAGTTCTATTAGCAATTATTTAATTTTAATTAAGTACAAACTGAAGTCAGGCCAAGGAGAAACAGTAGCTACAGAAACATTATCCATCTCTCGTCTCCATTACAAAAACATAGGAAGTCATCATAAAGAAAAGATTCCCCCCAGACAACAATCCAGAACCCTGGCCTCTAATCCAGGACTCCTTACCCAATATCCCTCCTCCCTCAACACAATAAATCATATTTAAATGGTAACTGCATGTCAGGCCAAGTTCGTTCAAGACCATTTCAAAATAGACTATTAAGCAAACATCCACAAAGTAATCTCTTGCTGTTCAGTTTTGCTCTTCTCTGGAACTCCCATCACTGGAGGGCAAAAAAACTTCTCAGCACATTGATTTGGAAAGTAGTTGGAGAGAGAACAGTATCAAAGCCACCCATAACAAGAACAAGTAAGAATACATTAGTAGAGCACACTTTAAAAATAAACATGCTGGTTTGCAAACTGAACCTTAATTCAGTGGATTAGGAAAACTCCCAGGGGATCTGTTCAGGAGCAAAGCAGAACTTCAACGGGAAGAATTTTTACCCCTCAAGTACAGATTCCCAGGCAGCGTAGCCCACTCCACCGCCAGCATGCTGCCATCAGGTATGCTCCCACACCAGTATCTTGAACCACTGCCTCAAGTCGTATGCCCCCACAAACCTCTTGTCAGAGCTCACACCCCACCAGCCTGCTCAGAGATGGTGATCTGGGAATCCACAGGTAGAAAGAGCCAACCAGCATACTGTACGGTCAGTCCAGGATCAGAATGCCACCATGAGCTGTCTTCTGTTTTATGACAATTTTTAAAGCTTTCACTCCAGCAAACTCCGAAGGCACACAGTCATGTTCAACAGGGAATATGGGTATGTACTCACTTAAGCCCAGAGTGCGCTACTAGAATAATCTATTTAAAAGCAAAACATTAAATTCCCTTTGCTTTTCAGTGAATATTCTAAACTAAAATTGAGGGTAACTTTTTCCCACTTTGTTTTAGCAACAGTACTCCAAAATGAGGAAAAAACATCTTCCATTCTGGATACTAAAAGCATAAAAATAGCCTTACTGAAGTAGAACAGAGGTCCAGTATCCTGTGTTCAACAGTAACCAATACCTGATGCTACAGACCATGCTATAAGTTAATGAACCTGCTCCTAAGTCCTGAAACTTTCTCCGGTTAACAGTCTAAAGGTTCTAATGTCATTTTACCCGAGATGTTAATAAAGCAAAACAGTCAGAGACTTTTCTCAGAATCAATGAACAAAATGCTGCAATTCAGGACATGGTAATACTGGGCCTACTAACTTACTGTGCTGGTTTTGGCTGGGGTAGAGTTAATTTTGTTCACAGTAGCTAGTATGGGGCTGTGTTTTGGATTTGTGCTGGAAACAGTGTTGATAACACAGGGATGTTTTTGTTACTGCCGAGCAGTGCTGACACAGAGTCAAGGCCTTTTCTGCTCCTCACCCCACCCCACCAGCGAGCAGGCTGGGGGTGCACAAGAAGTTGGGAGGGGACATAGGTGGGACAGCTGACCCCACCTGACCAAAGGGATGTTCCATACCATATGACATCACGCTCAGCATATAGAGCTGGGGGAAAAAGAAGGAAGGGGGGGACGTTTGGAGTGATGGTGTTTGTCTTCCCAAGTCACCGTTAGCATGATGGAGCCCTGCTTTCCTGGAGATGGCTGAACACCTGCCTGCCAATGGGAAGGAGTGAATGAATTCCTTGTTTTGCTTTGCTTGCGTGCGCGGCTTTTGCTTTCCCTATTAAACTGTCTTTATCTCAACCCACGAGTTTTCTCACTTTTAGTCTTCTGATTCTCTCCCCCATCCCACCAGGGGGGAGTGAGCGAGCAGCTGTGTGAGCTTAGTTGCCAGCTGGGGTTAAACCACAACACACCCTCCAAAAATGTTAAAAAACAAACAGCCTCAGAAATGGGTGCTCCTTAACAAACAGGACCGTGAGAGCCACTTTTTCAGCCATTGTGGTGTTGGAAGACACACACCAAAAACAGTCTCTTCAGGTAAACAGAAGAGACGTGGCAGTAGCATTTAAAACTACCTTCCTGGGACAGGAAAACAAGAGAACAGATACTAAGAATTTATCTCTCAAACTAAAGCTGTTAGGTTCTCCATCAATATTAATAATTGAAGAAATACAAAAGACAGTTTTGTGATTTCTGTGATCAAAAGTCTAGTTCATGAAAGAATTCAAAACATAAGTACAAAGTAACCTCGAAGCCGAGGTTTTAAAAGACATCCGTGTTTGTGCTGTACAGCCCCTAATGATTCTGAAACCTATCTGCAGTGAAACATTCAGGACTTTACTCAGGTCCACAGTAACGCAAACATATTTGAGCACATCTAAGACATTAGCTTCCTTGTCACCGGGCCCTAACTGCACCTGAAGTCGTAGGAAATAGAGGCCAAACATTTAAACTGCATTCCTCCAAATCCTCTTCTGACATCCAGCCAAGTGCTGCACAGCAGCAGGCATGCAGCGAAGCCTTCACTGGCTGGGTCTCGTGACTGACCTTTTCAAAAGAAATGCTGGAAATGACAGTTGAAAGATAAAGAGATGCCAAGACTAAGGAAACAATGGTCTGGACATTTAAGGCTAGATTCTCACCTTCCTCTTCAAAAGCAGCTTTGTTTGGGGTGTGTCTCTGTCCTGGTTTAACCCCAGCCAGCAATTAACCATCACACAGCTGCTCGCTCACTCCACCCACCTCCAGGCAGGATGGGGGAGAGAATCGGGACAGTAAAAGTAAGAAAACTCATGGGTTGAGGTAAGAACAGTTGTAATAACTGAAATAAAGTAACAATAATAATAACAGAAGAATATACAAAGCAAGTGATGCACGATGCAATTGCTCACCACCCGCCGAGCAAGGCCCAGCCAGTCCCAAGCAGCGATAACCCCTCCCCGGCCAACCCCCCAGTTTATATACCAAGCATTACGTCACATGGTATGGAATACCCCACTGCCCAGTTGGGTCAGCTGTCCTGGCTGTGCTCCCTCCCAGCTTCTTGTGCACCTGGCAGAGCATGGGAAGCTGAAAAGTCCTTGACTAGCCTAAGCACTACTTAGCAACAACCAAAACATCAGTGTGTTATCAACATTCTTCTCATACCAAACCCAAAACACAGCACTATGCCAGCTACTAGGAAGAAAATTAACTCTATCCCAGCCGGAACCAGGACATCATCAAATATTCACCCACAGCCAACATCTTCAGGCCACAAAGACAAAGCAATGGCAAGCCTGGGAACTGTTTGCACTGACAGCAATGTGACTTTAAACATGCGGAAGGCTGACCCCAGCCAGCAGCC